AATTGAGTATATTAAGAATTTTCAGAGTTTAAATATAAATATTTTACAAAATAATTAACAAGTGCAAGTTATTTATGTTGTGCTTCATTGTTTGCAGCTGCTGGGAGCGTCTATTTTCGGTCTGGCCCTGTGGATGAAACTAGAACCCGGGTTCGGGGAATGGGTCGAAAAACTAGAGCTGCACGAATATTATGCGGGGATATATGTCCTCATTGCTGCAGCTGTCCTCATCATAATTGTGTCCTTCCTCGGCTGTCTCAGCGCATTCATGGAGGACAGGAGGATGCTTGCCATAGTAAGGAATTATATAACAATATATTACACTGGTGTCTCGACCCGCGAGATTTCCTGCGAGACTTTCTGCATTCTAAAATACAACATGGACTGGCAATTACTAGGTTGTGTTTCAGTTAACTTGAGAATAACGGACTTGAATGACAAACATTACTGAACACACACTGTAGAGTCACACTACTGTACGTACCAAAACACCCTATGTACGATGTACACTCGGCAGCTAGAAAAAATCAACGCCAAATGGTGTACCCCAAGGATTTCTCTTCTGCTATATTTTCAGTTTTACTTCTGTGTTTCTTCAGTCCTTATAACAATCAACATTTTGTATTTTTCACTGTCTGCATGTATGGTTGACAGACCTATGTGTGACGGGCGAATGTCTAACTAACTAACTAAACTAACTAGATGGCTTACCGAACCCGAAGGTTCATCACCGAATTAACCAAAGCCATCCACCGGACCCTGTCCTGGGCCAACAAAATCCAGTTTCCTTCAACTCCTATCTCACATAGATCCCGCCTGAGATTATTCTCCCATCTACGTCTAGGTCTCCCCAGCGGTCTCTTCCCTTCAGGTTTCCCAACCAGTACCCGATGCACACCTCTTGTCCCATCCATGCGAGCTACATGTCCCGCCCATCTCATTCTGTCTAGTACCAATTATTTTATTCCATCAATAAAATCTTCTTGGGCAATCAGCCAGTTGTATAGTCTACGTATATGTCCCTGACATCTTCTACCTTTCGGTTTATTTTCATACAACAGCTTCAGAATTCTAGGTTATATCTATGAAACACGCACCTTGTCACGTAGATACGAAGAGAAACAACTAAAGCTGTAAAATAGGCATGCACTTAACTAAATTTAATAGATGTATTGTATCAGTGATTCGTAGTACGTACTATGGTCCTATAGCAGTTGCTTTTACAGAATTTGTACTAGAGGCGTAGTGTACAAGCTTCTCGAGGGATTCGACGTGATTCCAGTGATTACTACTGGCGCTTTCACCTATGAACTGCATAAAAGTTGAACTTTTATTATCATTTTATTGCTGGCGGTGGCCTGTTATTTAACAAGGCTTTGCTAATATTTGCAGAATGACTATGTAAGTTGAAATAGGACGGACATGAAAGGCAGCAGACGCATCCTGACTATCGTAAGAACCAAACAAACTCTACAGAAACATTTTTACAGATTTACTGAAAATTAAAGCACGATTCATAAAGTCACTGCTGTAAAATGGTATTTAAAAGGCAGGCATTACTATGTTTGCATCTCATTATCAACAAGTCATTTTTAACAGATTATAGTCGGAAAGTAACAATTTATTTGGAAACAGAAATGCAAGCTGTGGGCCTATTTAGAAAGTTGCGATATCTTAGATTAGTCGACCCTGAAAATCAATCGAATACGAAGCAATGGTACATCAGAATATTAGATTCTCTCCAGGCCAATGCAGTAATTAAAATCTCATATAACGTGACTAATGAATTAGAAAACTCGGTAATGGATATATGAGACTGCAAAACGAGTGTGGAAGAGACGGATGTGGATAATGAGTGTCGCTTTAGAATTTTAATTTCAGCGATACAGTGAGAGAATTCAGATATATTTCACAATTCACAAACACCTCAAAATTGGTTCTAATTCACATACAAATTATTATATAAAGAGGGAAAATGAACGACAGGAATTGATGGTTTAATAAATAGGACGATGAATGTGTAAATTTTAAAGACCGCCGAACTTCTACCGCTGTTTTAGTACCAGTGAGTCGCGAACTCTCTGTGGTTCGAGAATAGTAGCGCTATACTGTAAGAATAGTTGAGAGAAGATTTCTGTCTTTTGAGCTGTTGCGCCGTGTAGTCTGGTAGAAGTTTACCGACGTTTCAGAGGTGCTTACTGCTTCCATCAGTAGAGCTCAGAGCAGATTTGATTCTTTGCCCGAGAGGTCTCAGTAATCCCACGACTATCAGTAGAAGAGATGTCAGTTGCTAAGATACAGTGATTTAGCACGCGACCTCGACTAAGCCGATTAGGGAAGTGGGCCAGAAGGCGACGTATCGTATCACTTTATATCACGAGATCGGCGGAAAGACAACACAGGGTCATATTCAGGTCAACCATGAGAGATGCTTTTCTCTTGACACAACCTATAGTCCACACTTTCTGATTCTTTCTTCCGTACATTTGCATAGGTCGATAACTCAATGCGTTAGTTTCTGCGTGTCAAAATATCACGCTGTCGGCTTCTGAATCGCATGTTGTGGAACGCTCAGGAGTTCCGCGAGCTGCCGTCTTGTTATTTTATCCTCAGAGATTAGGTAACTTAATGTACCGACCATTATTTGCAATGGATCTTAGATAATTAGGTTGTGGAATCGTGAATTGGAAAAATGAGCCGGATCATTATGTAGTCAAATTATTGAAATTTGCAATACCAGGATTCATAACAGATAATCTCTTGATCAGCAAAATATCTGTCGACAGCTATAGCAATAATGTAAATCATAAGATGTCATTTAGTGGGTGAGTCAGTCAGGTAGGCAAGCCCATGTGCACAATTAAAGAGGAGATTCGTGTAAAAATTGTTTATTGCGATCTCCTTATTTTATCACTGGTGCAAAATTGGACTATGCTTCATGCATACATGAATCTACTGTTAAAATTTCTGCGGGCATACCTTAGAGTATCTTCATCATACGCCTACCTTAATTCGAAGCTTAATACTATTTTGTAATTGTCATCAGTGGAAAATCTGGAACCATGCGTTAAAGCCGATGTAACGCAGCGCTGAAAACTGCTTTTGTTTCACGTTTGGATACGAGCACGCCATTACTTATCATTTTAAACGGAGAGAACGAAAATAGGATTCAGGTTAATCCGATTCGAAAAACAGCTTAGTTAACTCAACCCTGAGAGCATCGAACATTCGCTCACTTCTGTCTCATCCTATTTCATATTTAAAGCGGTTTATCCCAATGCGCTGCTAACAAGGGTTGATATTACCAACAAAAAGAACTCGCATGAATACACCAAGGCAAGCTCTGGCAGTTTCAAGCAGCTGTGCCCCTCGCGCACCTCATGGGGCTGTTTCCTTTAGAAATATTAAGCAGAATTTATTTCTTCCCATTCTTCAAAAAGCATATTTATACCTTAAGGTCCTTCCTTCACAAATCAAAGAGAAAAAGTGAGGAAGAAAAGAGTAGGAAAGCTTCTCCTTGTATTCTCTTCCTAAAATTAAGAATTTGCTGTACATTCTTTTCATATAAATACACATTTGTTTCTTAGCTTATTCAACAACAATTTTCAGCTTCATGAGTAACACAGCATCGTATGGTAGGAACAGTGTAAATTACGAATAGAAAGAAACAGTTGAGACCTATTTTAAAGTTTATTATTATTTTAGTACGTGTCTGGAGGCAACGGCAGAGTTTTCCGTGTGCGTAAACGACACGTAACTGTCTTCTGGGCTGTTGAACCGTAGTCGCGTAATTTACCGACGTTTCAGAGGGTTACACATCGCCATGAAAATGGTGACAGTACGTACCCCTATGCGTCGGTCAGTTGCTACGAGACTATACGGTGCAGCATCTCAGAAGACAGTCAGCCTCATTCTTAACGTTGACACTACACGCGGGAAGTCGTTGGCTTCGTCTCTCTGCCGTTTTACTCCCATAGAATTATCGCTCAACACACCTTACGACACCCAGAGTCGAGCTGGATACAGTAAAGAGAGAAACTTCCCTGCTCCTTCCCGATAACACAACCTTTACATTACATTACAGACCGACATCAGTGCAGTGATAACACTTTATAACAGCTTTAAATTGAAGAATAACAGAATGGTAATCATTTATAAAATTCTAGTGTAAGACAATGGGCAAAGCATTTAAATTTGACTTGTGAAATTTGTATGATTAGTCTAAGTGTTCAGACACATGTAAAGCAACGAAAGATAAGATAAAGTTCAATGGAGCTATAGTTTGACGCATTCTTAACTTCGGCACTAGATGGAGGTGAGTGGTGAACCGGAACAATCTAACCGTGCCCCAATTCAGAAACTCCGTTTCGAAAGTCTGAGGACAAAATTCTCAATCGAGATGGCCGGTAACTCAAACGAGTTTCGATTCATACCTCCCATATAGCCAGAGCGATGTCGCGTCATAAACCAACCCGTCATACTGGGTTGTAATTGATAAATTGAAACAAAACACTAAAATGTTATGTGAGTTATAAATAACCGTAGCATTTTCTTTATCCACTATAGCATTTCGTCATAACTGCACTTCTTAAATAGCTGGTCAGATTCCAATTAGTTTACAGGTAAAAAACCCTTAAATACCAAAGCGCGATAAGTTACTTGCGCCCGGTACAGAATCGCGAAGTTGTGAAGTGATCATACATAGAGGTGTGTTGCGTCATTTAAGCACAATTACCTAACTACAGAATTCCAACACCTCTCTCCATTACTATAGCAGATGGTGCCAAATTAACCTATATCAGGTTGTATAAGCAAAATGAATTCGTCTCTCCATCAATGTCAAAAACAGAACTAAAATATCAACAGTGTACTATATGTCAATCAAACGTAGTATTTTACCTTCAAACGGCGATGGGCTTTTCATAACGCGCATGTTCATTAGAACATCGAATTTTATCATGTTAAGCAGTTCAAAAAGTAATGATAATTACTCTACTTACGCTGCAGTGAGCGCGAATCATATCGCTCAAAACACCGTCCAGCGGTGAGTTCCTGTAATTTAAAAAATGTATATTTAGGATTTTAGAATGCTGTAGAAATAAGACAAAGACGAGCTCTCGCGGCATCACATCTTGGTGATTACCCTCTTCTACGGCATAAGATTATTGGAAGGAATGAGACACGAGAGAAATTCTAAGCCTTCATAACTATAACCCATGTGTCTGGCATATCTGTAATTTTATTATCAGAATTGAAACGATGCTAAAGCTGCATACAAAATATAATTTTTCTTCTGTAGCATGAAACAGTTCCTGGTGAAAAGTGCGTCCTAAAACACCTTGCCACTTTCTAATATTGTATTTCAGCTCTGTCTGAGAGAGTGAAATCGAAGTGCGTTGATGGTAGACATCATAAACGAAGCCCAAAAGAAAATTACATCTTCGTGAAAAAAATCCAACTTTTTTTAGTTTATACAAACCCCAAAGTGTGAAGAGTGAGGTATGAAACCCCTACAAACAAACTAAGATTGTCCCACAGCCCCTAACTGCAGGGTGTCACCTTCTCAACCAGGTAATTTCCCCAACCCCTTCAGCACCGCCCCAGTAACACGTGATATTATTTATGGATGGATCTTTAAGTGCACACTCGCCAGGCCGCTGCTCGTGTGCGGAATGAAATACCATTTACGATGAGATTCTTTCTTCAAAAATTTGTTATAAATGCAGAATTCCACAACGCAGAAGATACGTACGGCATTAAATTGTCTGTAACTGCCGAGAAAGTCTAAACTGTTAAGCTCTACACTTGTAATCGGGATGTACCCGGAACGACTCTCTTCAGTTCCTCTACGTGAAAATCGAGATATTACTTTCAGACACGTCACAGACGCCTCTTTCCGAATACCTGCCGGCTCACCATTCTTAATAATCTATCAGTTTTATTTCGACATTATACACAATACAAAAAATGCTAGACCTAAATGGTGCAATGGATGGTAGCATAGAAAGAGAAATTCTCCAAATTTATTTTACGTGCGTTTTGTGTTAGGTTGGGTTAGATTAGGTTAGGTTAGGTTAGGTTTAGTTAGGTAAGGTAAGGGTAGGTTGATCAGGTTAAGTTAGATAACGTTGTGTTGTTTTACGATGGGTTAGGTTGTCAGGTAGAATTTCATTCGTGTTCATCGAGTGGTTGTGGGGATATCCTGGAAAAGTTCTGGAGAAAATTTGAATACGTCCTAGAGTGCTGTAGGACAAGTCCTGGATAGTTTATGCGGAATTTCATTGATTATGGAGAAGAGCTGGAGAAATCCTGGAGAAGTGCTGGAGAGGTCCTAGAAGGTTATGTGGAAGTCCTAAACCAGCGGTGGGTTTTATCCTATGCGGTTATGTTAATTTGGATTCGTTTATGTTTGATTGGTATAAGTTACATTGGATTAAGTTGCGTTGTATTGGCTTAGGTTTAGCTAGGTTAGGTAAGGTAATATGAGGTTCAATAAAATCTTCTCGGGCAATCAGCCGCGTTAGCTAGTTACCGTAGTAAATCGACGTTTCGGGAACAAACTCTGTCCCCATCTCAGGGTTCTGATGTGACTGGATCCTCGGAAGTTTCCAACGAAGCCACTCTTAAGAAGTAAATTTCCACATATAACAACACTCGGTTTTAATACAGTTACATTCCTCCTATTAGACTGAAATTAAATCAATTCATAGTTTACTTGTTCGGACGAAAGTTTCGCTGTTGCTTTTACAATATAAGTTCTGCTCATTACACAAAACAGTTTTCTCTCTAAACACGCGCAGGTAATGCACTATGTGCTAAAATATGTTAAACAGTGTTAGATTTGCTGTGAAGCAAAGTGTGTGTTCGCAGAGAATAGCTGATGCTGTTCTTTAAAAGAGTAGGCCTGAAAGTAAACAGTTTCTGAAGATTACTACGTATTCCGCTCTGCGTTGTAACGCTGTGTCATACGGTCAATAATCTACTCCAAACGTTGCACGAGGGAGACTCCTAGCGGTTCCGGTAGAACTTTTATAGCTGGTTCTATTTCTCCATAAATGATGATAATTATGTTAATAAAACTTTATCCAAATGCCTAAATATCCCGTCATAATTACTAATAGAGGGATTCAAACACAGACGTAGAAAATAAAATGATGAGCTAAAATCGGTGATTATAAATTTCGAAGCCGAGTTGGTGTCTTCAATTGTTCTCTTGATAGGAATTCACTAACATTAGCCAAATACTACGTTAGCATCATAACACAGTAACAATGCCACTAACATACGTGATCTAGGCAGCAGTGTGACTGATTAAGTCAAATATTCACCAAGAAAACGTCAATATTAGTTAATGCAGAATCTGAACTTGGTAATATGAATAATCCGAAAACGCATGTGTTAGAAAAACTTTTCTCGTACAATAACAACAACATTTATTGGTAATTGTTTTAAAAAATAAATTAAATAAATACATAGACATTACGACATTGGACAACTTACCGAAGTCTCTGTAAATAGGAATACTGATTCTCGCCTTGGGGGTGGAATGTAGGGCAGTTACTCAAAAGTCTGTTTAATCTCACAGCACATTTTCGTCTCGGAGAGGTGTTAAAACTAAATAAATACAAACATACATTCCTCGAGGCTTTATCTGCGACTACTGTGGCCTCTGGCTCCTACCAAGAGTCAAGGGGTAATAATCATTTGTTGTGTAAGATGATTAAACGAGTCTGTTTTAAGTGAAAAGGCTGGCGAGATAATAATGATGATGATTATGATAATAATAGTGGTATTATAAATAATTTCTGCGCTACAATTTGCCCTTGAGTTGCTATTTAAGCCACTGAATTTACTCGAGAGTTTTGTGAATTACATTTATTGAAAATAAAAGCCGTCTTTATTGATATTAAACAATTATTTATAAAAGTGTATCAGTACTCATGTAGTTGGTACCATGAGATAAGGAGTTGAGTAGCCACTAACATATCTTCATCACTTGTACATCTAATCCACGGCTACTAGTTTATCATCGGTGTTTTCCAGGAAACTTGCGATATTATTTTATTTTCGTTTCCTCTAGCAGCTACCTGTATCGAACACTATGTATGTTTTCAGTTTATTGGAGTGCAGGTTCTTTGCTTTATCATCGGCACAGCAGGAGCAGCTGTGTTGTTAGACTACAGCACATACGACTCCCAGATCCAACCGCTCATCAGGGAACGGATGAGATATCTCATAAGCGAATCCCAAAACGAGTATGCCTCCTCTGTGTTGAGAATGGTCCAAGAAACAGTGAGTACCTACGTGGATTACGATTCATAATTTAGGTCTAATGGTAACATCGTCAAAATCTTTATCATACAGTGACGTCATGGGTGATAAAGCGTCCGCCATTATTTTTTTACTCTCCCGTAAGCGCTTTTGTTATGTTTTATCTTTATTTACTCTACTTCACACGTCTTAAAGAAGTTCTTACTCAGTTACAAACCCGTTATCATAACGCCTACTTTCCACAACAAATACGCCTATAGATCAAGGCCCCTAAGTTAACATTAGTATATATTATTTAAATCTTGTCCGTCTAATCACAATAAAGTCTTATTAAATATTAAAATATTACATTAATTAACATTTAAAATATTTAAAATATTAAATGATGTTCTTTGTCGAAATATTCGATTTACATTAGACCATCAAAAATGACCATCATTTTTGATGGTCTAATGTAAATCGAATATTTCGACAAAGAGCATCATTTAATATTTTAAATATTTTAAATGTTAATTAATGTAATATTTTAATATTTAATAAGACTTTATTGTGATTAGACGGACAAGATTTAAATAATATATATTTATTATATCAGAATATGACGCAACTTAACCATCTCATTAACATTAGTATGTGAAAAGCGAGTATTTTTCGAATAATCGCGACACTATTGTGTATTTATATGCAAAATATAATAATATTTCCATAAGTGACTCTGTACTGTTGTAAAACGTTTTGTTCTGAGGGAAGAGCTTGTGTTATATTCCATTACAATTGTTTCACAAGAGAGTATTCTGAGAAATATTTTGATCTATGAGGGATGACGTAAGCAAGCAATTTGTGAAAACTGTACAGGTCACTTGATGTCATTAGGAAAGTAAAGTCTCGGAGGCTAAGATTGGCTAGACACGTAGCTCGGACGGCGAGGAAAAGATACATTCAAAATTATCATGTGAAAACTTCTAGAAAACCAGCCAATTGGAAGAAAAGGAAGGAAATAATAAGAAACAAATAGGAGGCATCGAAAGAAAAGAGAGCTGTTAGTTAGAAACAAATTTGCAGTTCAACTTTAAATAGAAAATCCTTCAAACTTTTAAACTGTAGCCAATTGATCCAAGTTTCAAGTTCTTCCTAAGGAAAAGACGTAACTATTTATTGCAGAGTAATATAGATAAAACTCTCTGAACCGTATCTACACTTATTCTGCTATAGGATGTGTTAAGTGGGTCTAGTCGTTACGTAGTTTCACTACATCTTTTTCATTTGTGACGAGCGCATAAAATTTGCATGGCGAAATAAAAACGGTTCTGGAAGGAAACGATGGTATTGAGGTTAACAACTTAATGGCTACGAATGAAAATACAAGTTAAGGGCAGAAATATGCAGGAAAATATTATCAAGACACTATGGCCGTAATCAGGGTCCGTGAGGCAACATGCAATACAGAAGCAACTTCTTGCCATACAAACTAACAGGCGTAACAAAGAAGTTCCGTAAATAATGTATGACATCAACTCTTCCATTTACACTAGCAAGCTAGCAGGAATTATATAATTTAGAGGTTCATTTATAGCCATTATGTCGACCAGTATAAATTCCATGCATCTAATTAGCTGCCAGATCAATATCATTATTAATAATAAAAATTAAATTAAATTAAGAGTATTTAAAACCCTTTTAGAATCAAAACTAATATAATTTAATTTCATTACGTCTAATAATAAATATAACAAGTCTTAGACTTCTGTTGCACTTTCCTTATAGCACATTCTAGAACATAG